CTTTGAATATACTCCATTGACTACAACCATCTGTTTCCTGTCACTCAGCCACTGCCTTACCCATTCAACAATATTGAAATCCAAACTTAAAGATTGCAGTTTATTGATAAGCCTTCTATGTGCAACAGTGTCAAAAGCCTTACTGAAATCTAGGTAAGCAATGTCTACTGCACCACCCTGATCTATAATTTTAGTTACCCAATCAAAAAAATCAATAAGATTAGTTTGGCATGATCTACCTGAAGTAAACCCATGATGTCTCTGATCTTGAAATCGATGTATTTTTAGATGTTCAACAATCCTATCCTTTAACATGGTTTCTATCACTTTCCCCACTACTGAAGTAAGGCTCACTGGCCTATAGTTACCCGACTCCTCCCTATTACCTTTCTTGTGAATGGGCACAACATTCGCTAACTTCCAATCTTCTGGGACTACTCCTGTTAACAATGACTGGTTAAATAAATCTGTTAATGGTTTTGGAATGGGTGTATTCCATCAGGTCCCATTGACTTATTTGTCTTTACTTTTGACAGTTGAAATAGAACCTCTTCCTCTGTAAACTCACGTGTAATAAATGACTCATTTATCCTTTTTCTCAACTGAGGTCCCTTTCCTTCATTTTCATCTGTAAATACCAAACAAAAATATTCATTGTGGCAGTCAGCTAGACCTTTATCCTCTTCTACATATCTTCCTTCTTTTGTTTTTAATCTAACTAATCCTTGTTTTACTTTTCTTTTCTCATTTATGTATCTTAAAAAAGTTATGTCCCCTTTGTTTACTGACTGTGCTATTTTCTCTTCTGTGTGTGATTTGGAAGTTCTTATAACTTGCTTAGCCTCTTTCTGCCTAATCTTATAGATCATTCTGTTTTTTTTTTTTTTATAATTACTAAATGCTAACTTTTTGTTTTTTACTATTTTGGCCACATCTGCGGAGTACCACAGTGGTTTCTTGAATTTTTGCTTTTACTGACAAGCCTAATGCAATTTTCTGTTGCCTTCAGTAGTGCAACATTTAAATAATCCCATTTCTCTTGGACTCCATTTAAATTGCTCCAGTCTGATAATGACTCCTTTACACATATTCTAATTTTAGAAAAGTCTGTTTTTCTAAAGTCTATAATGTTTGTTTTTGTGTGGTGTGACTCAGTCACTGTTCTTATATTAAACCACACTGACTGATGATCACTGGATCCTAAACTTTCACCTACAGTAATATCTGATACCAAATCTCCATTTACTGGTAATGGGAGACTTGAATGGTACAATAGAAAGTATGTTGTGCACCCTCTAAACGTGGGTGGTAAAACGTAACTTTTAATAATAAAAAGTAAAAAATAATAATAAACAATAGCGCAAAACTCCACCGAACATACATATTACATAGAAACATGAAACATAGAATGTGTCGGCAGATAAGAACCATTCGGCCCATCTAGTCTGCCCAATTTTTAAAATACTTTCATTAGTCCATGCCTTATCTTATAGTTAGGATAGCCTTATGCATATCCCATGCTTTCCTACAGTAAACTCCTTTATTGTGTTAACCTCTACCACTTCAGCTGGAAGGCTATTCCATGCACCCACTACCCTCTCAGTAAAGTAATACTTCCTGATATTATTTTTAAACCTTTGCCCCTCTAATTTGAGACTATGTCCTCTTGTTGTGGTAGTTGTTCTTCTTTTAAATATGGTCTCCTCCTTTACTGTGCTGATTCCCTTTATGTGTTTAAATGTATCTATCATATCCCCCCTGTCTCGTCTTTCCTCCAAGCTATACATGTTAAGCTCCTTTAACCTTTCCTTGTAAGTTTTTTCCTGCAATCTATGAACCAATTTAGTAGCCCTTCTCTGAACTTTCCCTAAAATATCAATATCCTTCTGGAGATACGGCCTCCAGTACTGCGTACAATACTCCAAGTGAGGTCTCACCAGTGTTCTGTACAATGGCATGAGCCATTTCTACTGCTCCCTATACAACCAAGCATTCTGCTAGCATTTCCTGCTGCTCTATTACATTGTCTGCCTACATTTAAGTCATTCTCTCACATTATTTTTTACTGTGCCTATCATGCACAGTTTAGAAAATAATCCCCAACATCTAATCAACTCTTACTAACTGCTAGTCTTTGGCAAATGTGGATTCCACCTTGCTGAGACGTTCTTCACCAGATACAGTGGGTTTTATTGTCTCATACACAATCTGATATGGTAGCTACTGAGCACAGTTTAGACAATAATCTAAAGGGTGCACGACATACTTTCTATTGTACCATTCAAGTCTCCCATTACCAGTAGAGTACTCCACTCCTCTGAATACTCTACCTTAATCCAGGTTCTCCTGATTCTCTCTATTTTTTAACATTCAACATTTTTCAAATTGACACGAAAGGACCAATACTTGACCGCCAATCAGAATCAAGAAGCTTAAAAGAACGGTCCAAGATAGACCTTACTATGTCTTTACTCTTGGATTAAGAAATTCCCACTATTCCATACCATGTGCTTCTTGTATATTTCACAGGAATACACTTTACCCTGCAATATATCCCTGATTTCTTCCGTGCTTGTTCTCATGCTAATTCCGAAAGCAAGAACATGTGAATGATTTAGATTGAAACAAGGTGACTGCCAAGGGCAGATTTAAGGTTCCAGCGGTCAAAGTTTGTGTATTAAATAAAATTAAAAATAACAATAAAAAAATATATACAATACCCCGTTTCTCTTTAAGCCTTGACACAGGAGTGCAAAGTAATGGAATAATATCTGCTGTGTTCACTGCTCCAAATCCCATCTAAACAAACAATCTATGCTTAAATCTCTTATCCTTTAACAAAAGGCTAAAACTCAGCCACACACAGTGCAGCAGCTTAATGGCAGCAAACTCAAAGCTACCATGACATAAATAAAATAAAATAAGCAAGTATTGGAGAACATATGCTATGTTTTGAAATTCTGTAGTAGACGGAATGTTAGATTAGCTACATAAAGCATATCCTTAGAACAATGAAGTCGCAGGCTGCTGGGATAATTCATGTACTTTTGATATTTATTAAGTGAAACCTCTCAATATATGTATGTTTTTATAAGCAAAACGTACACTTAAATATCAAACTTTATGACAAGGTTAGAAGATGATTGAGAATAAATGACTTCTCGCTGGATGCAGCAGTATTGTTAAGCCCATAAAATAGTAAATGATGGGGGCAAAAGGTTTGCTGTCTTGGGAAAGGTGAAAGATGAATCTATTGTGTACTGTAACAGCAATGAATACATGATAAGGTATCCAGATAAAGTCGATGGCTTATGAGTACACCACGGGGATCTGAGACTTGAACAATTCATAAATTTAAAGGTCTGTCATAAATAATGCAATCAAGAAATATAGATGCAACAAATTCCAAGCCGACTCCTGTGGCTGAGTCTGCAACAAGTTACATCCCTGAGATCCAGAGGATGCTGTAGAAATATATAGTACTGTCTTTTTTTTCCTTTGGCGTTGGCTAAAAAGAGCATCGTGATTAGCAGAACTTCTTCTGTTACAGTTTTCTGGTAATTCAATAAAAGCTATTTAGATGGATTTAGGCATTTTAACACATTACGACTAGTGCCAAGGGGTATCATAAACTGCCTGTCGGCATCCCAAAGCTATAAGAATTTACATTTCAAACGTTCCAAAGCCTTTTTTACTAATAATTGCATGTGAGAAGAACACATGCTCTCCTGGTGTATTTTACACAAATGCTTACATTTTATGTTATAAAATAAGTATAGGAATGGTGGATATTTATTTATTAATGCTTAAAGTCTGGGAAGATTTTCTGCTTTTTAGTTTTGGACCCTTTCCTTTAACCTTAAATTGAACTGTTCTGCTAGAGATTTCAGAAACCCCTCTATGCATGGACTGGTGGGTATTAACGTACCAGTGTCAACTGAACAGAGCAGTGATTGCCAGACTCTGACCGAGATTATTCATAAGGTTCTGGAAACTGGGTAGAGCAGATGTGCCCAAGTACCATATCGCATATTTTGTTTACCAATCACACTTGAGAATTATTTGGGAGTCCACTGTTTTATGACGTGTGACATTCTAGAAATTACTTCTGAATTAGAATTTATCCAGAATAACACCAAATCAAGGCATAACATCCGAATAAGATCTATATTTTGTGACTACCACCATTTACAGTATACTACAAGCAGATACAACACAATTAATATTACTATGCTATATTGGTTTTTAATTTGTTTAAAGGCGAGATGTCGTCCAGATATGTGTTCACATAGAGGGAAGAGAAATTGAATGAGTTCTGAGTCAAGGGTTTGAAGGTCCGTAAGAATTTTGGGGTTCTTGTATACTTCTCTATTACTGAGAAGATATTTTTAAAACATAAAATAAAAACTACGAGACCAGTAAATCTGATTAAACATGATAAGTGTCACCGTATTTTTCAAGCGTTTGCTTTTTGTAACATTTCAGCATTCACTTTATTAAGTTACATTTTTTGTCCTTCTTTCTACTAATAAAAACAAAACTGATTTAAAAAAATAAAACAAAATAAGAAACACAACGCATTGGTTTTAGCTTAGCCTGGCTATTTTAGTGTTAATAATTAGAGCATGGGTTTGTTTATATATTTTCTTTATTACTTGAATACTATTTGTCTGAAATAGTTATTGTGAATGTTAGATTAATATTAATATTAATTGAAATGCATCATAAGCTCAGAAAGTTCATGGTAACATTTAGATGGTTAAATTAATATCCTGGGGGGAGGCGGAACTAACTAGCGAGCTGAGAAGACCCATGGTGCCTGAGCTCCGACTAAGCACAGAGAAAAAGCCAAGAAAACCAGCCAATTAACCTCATCACGGCACAAAAAAACCAGTGGGATTCTGGTACGATATGGGGAAACATTCGAGGAAATCCCAGGGGCCGAGCACATGACATACCCGCGACATCAGAAAACTCTTGTCCCTGGATGCAGGCCCAAAATGGTGGACGCCTTGCAGGACCTGGGGTTGGAGTCACTCTCGGCCTCAGAGGATGACTGCCTGAGTGATGTGCTGACCCCGACACCCCAACGGAGGCACCAGACCATGCCACAACGGCAAACGGAACCCTCTCTGGCTACTAAGGTTGATCTATCAGGCATGGTGACTGACCTTAAAGCCTTCTTCACGATGGAACTAGCAGAGCTTAAGACTGAGCTGGGTGCTCTTACAGGCCAAATAAGGAAGAAGAGGTTCAGGACCTGAAGGCCCAAGAGGACGCCACAGCTAAGCAGACACAGGAGCTGGTAGACACGTTCACACAGTTAAACACACAATTCGGACAGCTGGAGGATATGGCAAGACAGCGGAACCTAAAGGTGAGGAGGATCCCTGACACTGTGACCGCAGACAAACTATTACAATTTATTAAGAGACTGATCCTGGCTGTCCTACTGCCAAGCGGGCCAAATGACTGACTCTAGATGGCCTATTTCATATACCGGGATGCCCACACAATAAGCCAGACTCCGCAAAGCATGTAATAATGAGTTTTAAATCCCACTCAGATAAAGAAAGCTTCCTCCAAACCATCAGGGGACAAACCCCGTACGCATTTGAAGACTACACCTTAAACTTCTACCAGGACCTGAGCCGCCAGACACTACAGTGGCGTGCATCTCTAAAGAAAAACCACAACGCAGCTGAGAGCAGCAGACATACAGTATAAATTACCAATGGATAACCAAGAACACTCAACGCCGAACGGGCGATGACCTCACTGACAGAAGCGGCGCAATTCCTGCAAGCACTGGGCATCCACCCGACTTTGTTTTATCATAAACCCTCCAATGTGTTGGTCCACATTATTATCTCACTAATTATTATTATTATTATTGGTATTTATATAGCGCCAACTAATTCCGCAGTGCTTTGCAATATTATGACTAATAAACAATTATTTGTAATTGTTACCCAGACTTGTGTACATTTCAAATATTGCTGAGTCCACTTGTGTTATGGTGGAATAAAGGTAATACATGTAACCAAAGCTAAGCATTGCAGCATGAATCTTTGTGCTGACTTGCAGGAGTATAATTAACATCAACAAGTACCATTCTTGTTGAGAACAAGTGTGTGATATCCTTGGTGGTCTTTGGATATCTAGAGCCATGGATATATATTACGATAGGTTCCATTTATTAAATTTATATATTTTTCACTAGATATGGGGCAAAATTGAGAAACGAGATATGGAAGAGCCTGTAACGGCACCCTCAGCATCAAATAAACAAACCGCCGTTTAGTGAATCCTCCCCTCTCACCATAACGCCAGCTTCATTCGTATCAACTGCAATCATACGAATTGCAAGCAGGGGAATGCTCCAATCTCCCAAACGGGACCCGTACGGGTACTTCATTTCCCGATCAGCCAACTCACGAATTGCCGCTAATAGCCGAAACCATATTATTATTATTATTGCCATTTATATAGCGCCAACAGATTCCGTAGCGCTTTACAATATTTTGAGAGGGGGGATGTGACAATAAATAGGACTATTACAAGAAAATTTACAGGAACAATAGGTTGAAGAGGACCCTGCTCAAACGAGCTTACAGACTATATATATCTATTACATATATCTCCCAAGCGTTTAATATTTCCATCCGGCAGTTGCTATTCGTGTAGTAAATTCCCCTCCAATAACGAGACCAAGCTCCGCATTGAGGGTAAAACATGAACTGGGTTTACTGTGGGCTACCCTCCCGTATTTATGCAGGTCTCCCACTTGGTGGACACTCCCCTAGGGGACCAGATGGGAGACTGTAACGGCAGATGGACATACGGGATTTCAGGACACACAGGCACATAATATTCCCAGCATGCATCATGGTTTCCTACCCTCTGCCCTGGAGATAATTGAGAAGTTATTCAATTATCTACCAGGACAGAGGCAAATCGCCATTTTAGATACAACCCAAAAAACACATAAAAATATATAACTTTACAATTGCCGAACATTTCTAATTCGTGTAACATATCCCCAGATAGTCTGGATCTGAGTGCATATTATTGGCGAATAGCGCTCAGATCCCATACGCACAGTTCAATCGCCATGGAGTCAAAGTCTATTACAGTCTTTCGGTATGTGATTGACTCCATGGGAAGGCTATCTGGGTTAAATCCATTTGTGCGGTTCAAACTCCCGAACGGCCGGTGTTCGTATGCTTTTGTCGATCGAGAAGGGAGGTCGGTGGCTTTAGCGGTGTTCGGCGGAAAAAGTGTCCGCTTTCAGTTCCATAGAATCTGTGCCGAACACCGCTGGTCTGTCGCCTGTTTTAAAATGGCCGCAGCCTCGTGGTCGACATACGAACGACGACCACCCTGTATTCAGTTTTAATTGAAAGGTGTCTGCGGTTAACCACAACGTTCTAATTGGGATCAAGAGGTTAACCAGCAGCACACTTCTCTTCTGGGTGGCCGTCGGTTCGGTAGTTTTGTTTGGCAGGAAAGTCAAATAAACGAACAGGGGCATACGGACAGGTAATTCCACGAAAAGAGGCAAAACAGACGAACCAGCAATCCCAGTCTATATAGATGGATCTGTCACAGAGCCTAATTCCTAATTTCTTCCTAAAGTCTTCTGAGGACTCCATGCTGGTTACAGCATTTGATTCAATTATTATCGACCAACCTTCGATAGTAATTTATATTAAAGAGATATAACATAAATAAGATGAATGTGCTTTTAACCATGTAATACATGAAAAAGTCTTAACACGTGGTTTATTTCCCCATAATTAGTGCTATGGAAACAACAATATCATTTTTAACTTCTTCTTGCTTTTAGCAGCCTTGTGAGATTTTATTTTCATCTTTTGCCGGTCTGATAGTCTAGACACTTAATATTTGTCAAACTTATCATGCAATACCATTCAATGCTCGCTCTTCCACAGGAATAGCAACTATCGTGTTATCTGCCCCCTGTTGCTAGTTGAATATGAATGCTTATATTATCTGAATATCTAAAGAGTTCAGTAGAGTGTATTTACAATGTTATTATCATTTTCAGGATTGATTAGTAATCATTTTTCCAACATAAAGAAACAGATAACACCGGAACAGTATTTTAACTGCACTATAATGTAGTCTTCTATAAAAAGTCAGACTACCTATCTCCTTGATATAAAATGTCTCGACGTCTCCTGGTGGGAAAATCACATTTATTTTATGCATGATGATCTGACATTTTACCAGAGGGGCACAAAAGAAATGGAAAAGGTGTGAGCTTGTATTCACTTTACGAAAGAACAGTAGGTGTATACTTACGATATACTCAAATGCACGCACGCATACACATTATACTCTTGAAGGTTCAACATTTTGTCAATGGTGAGAAGGGAAAATCTTTTATAATTAAAATATAGGGACAATCTCAAAGCAAACGCAAATAACAATTGCAAACAATATCTGTTTTTTTTCTGATTATTTGTATGTATTTGTTTTTATTTTGTTATTAATAATACTGATATTTATATATATATATATATATATATATATAAGCATAATTTATTATATGATATATATTGTCAAGAGATAAAAGTTTACATACACATAGCATATGTTTGGGATCCTAATAAGTGCAGAATAGGAATGATGCCTTTATACATGAGGCAGGTAGCAAAGCTAAATTAATGAAAGTAACTATGCCCAACACAAGGTTGAAGTCTCTGGGTTACGGGCAGCCAATAGTGAGTGCTACCAGGAGTTGTATGTGTTAATGCAACTGTACTGCAATGCTAACACCATCAGGGCATCCCAGAAGTGAGGGGACTGGCACTGGTGTCTCTCTTGCCCTATCCAAAAAGCAGGCATGTTTGAATACACATTCAACTGGTTGATGTAGCATTTTATCACAGGATTTTACCAATGAGATATTCGTAACTATTGCCCTCAATTTAGTAATTTAATAAATTTTGTTTATTTATTATATATCATCATTTTCTTTCTTTACTGTTGTGAGATGAACAATTTCCTGATCTCATTAAAGTTTGTTTTACTTTGGAAAGAAGCAACATATTTGTCCTTATTAACTTCTTTGAAATGACAGATAAACAGCATGTTGCTTCTGTGATTATTACATAGTTACATAGTTACATAGCTGAAAAGAGACTTGCGTCCATCAAGTTCAGCCTTCCTCACATATGTTTTTGCTGTTGATCCAAAAGAAGGCAAAAAGACCAGTCTGAAGCGCTTCCAATTTTGCAACAAACTAGGAAAAAATTCCTTCTTGACCCCAAAATAGCAGTCAGATGTCTCCTTGGATCAAGCAGCTATTACCCCACTAATTAGAAATTATATCCCTGCATGTTGTGTTTTTGCAAGAATTTATCCAATTGCAGTTTAAACATCTGTATAGACTCTGACAAAACCACCTCTTCAGGCAAATAATTCCATATCCTTATTGCTCTTACTGTAAAAAAAAACCTTTTCTTTGCCTTAGATGAAATCTCCTTTCTTCAAGCCTAAATGTGTGACCTTGTGTCCTATGTATAGCCCTGTTTATGAATAGATTCCCAGATAATGGTTTGTATTGGCCCCGAATATATTTGTATAATGTTATCCTATCCCCTCTCAGGTGCTGTTTTTCCAAACTAAAGAGATTTAAATTTTTTAATCTTTCTTCATAACTAAAATGCTCCATTCCTTTTATCAATTTTGTAGCTCGTCTCTACACTTTTTCTAGTGCCATGACATCTTTCTTTAGAACAGGTGCCCAAAATTGCACAGCATATTTAAGGTGTGGTCTTACCAGCAATTTATAAAGAGGCAAAATTATATTTTCATCTCGAGAATTTATGCCCCTATTTATACATGACAAAACCTTACTGGCCTTAGCAATGGCAGATTGACATTGCATATTGCTGCCTAATTTGTTGTCTATAACAATTCCCAAATCCTTCTAGTGTGTGGTTATCCCAAGTTCACTACCATTTAGGGTGTAAATTGCTTGTGCATTCTTAACCCCAAAGTGCATAACTTTGTATTTCTCTACGTTAAATTTAATCTGCCATTTTAGTGCCCAATCCCCCAATCTATCCAATTCCCTCTGCAGCAAAGCAATATCCTGCTCACATTTTATTACTTTGCAAAGTTTTGTGCCATCTGCAAACACTGAAACATGGCTTTTAATGCCTATTTCAATATCATTTATAAATATGTTAAATAGAAGCGGCCCCAAAACAGAACACTGGGACACCACTTA